CCGTGGGCTACCTCCATTGACCTAGATTTTGGTATATCTTGCCGCACCTTCCACGCGGTCAACATGAAAAGCATCCATACCCTGTAAAATTAAACCGCATTGAGCTGCATTGGTGATATAATCAAAACTTGAAATGTTCTAGTGCTAAGTACATTACTATAAAGCAACATCTCACTTGGGTCACAGTTGCCAAAGGCGCCAATCAATGTAAATCCCTATATTTCGTTGTTTACAATTACCGTGCCTGGCCAAACGTCAATGGTTTTCGCAAATTAGTGCGCAAAACTGCACTAGCAGGCATCTGCTTCACACACCTTATGACCTTATCTTGGTGCTTTTTGAGCAAGTCGGACCGGTGCCAAAAGCAGGTGACGTTTCGAGAACATATGTGACGTGCAGTACATACTCGATTGTACTCATATTTAGACACAGTCATGCCTCGCAACGCCCAGAATGTGGCTTAAGCAGGGTTGCGAGTGCTTCACGCTACCGGAGAACATATGTGACGTGCAATACATGCTCGAAGGTACTCATATTGAGACAGAGTCCTGCCTCGCAGCGCCCAGAATGTGGCTCAAGCAGAGTCACGAGTGCTTCACGCTACCGCGTGGGCATAAATGTGTGGAAATATTGACTTGATCAATATTCGGTTAAAGGCTTTTGACGTTTAGCACGAGTATCAAGCTCATAATTTTCTCCGCTTTAGTCGCACTCATATTCAGCGTCATAATTGAATCGGTCGATGGAATTTGGAGAGTACATGGATGGCAGAGTGAGGTCAGGTCGGAAACCTTTTGCACGTAAACAATAAGGCAGGAGATGCTCATCAACTTTTGCTGGCTCGTACACTTTATGTTTCAAGACTGATATCACGGCCACCAATCTTCTTTCGTGGGTATTATAATTATGTTTCAAGTGTTTTATTTTCGTATCTGATTACCAACTCAGGCGACACCTGGGGGCTCGCAATTAGGCACCTCACGAAACATCGACAAAGTGACCGGTCACTTCCAGTCCTTGGGCTTCGGAAAAGTTTGTTTTGTATTTAAAGCGTTAAGTGAGCTTGCTCGTTCTTAGGAATTTCAGCATCGCATCCCAACATATCATCACGTATCATTGAAGGTGTAGCATGCAGCTAGGTAATTGATACGTAACACGTGGCATTGTCATGGCCGATTTATGTTTACCTGGGAACGTGTCTACTTGTTCAGAATGGAAGGGTGAAAATGATACGAACTGCTTTGAGCATCCACGCTCACAATATTTAATCGCAAGAATGTATCATCGCGCCATGACATGTTTCATATGCCAGGTGGCATCGGCTGACGCTGCTTACACCGCGGCGACCTGCAGTATGGATGAAAATACCCACGGTCCGTAAAGTAGCACATTCGGACGCTTCGTGCATTCATTGCTAGGTAAAAATGGTATCATTGACTGTATATTTCACGTCTGCACTTTCCATAATTATTCTTAGATCGTACAAGCAGTAACGGCAAAGCGAACATGAGATATTCCACCCTTGCATGGAACGTTTATGGTGTGGTAATTAATTAACCATTCGTAATGATAAGCTGAGGATCATACCGGTAATGTTCGTGACCCGATTTTCTTGCAAAACGTACTATTTAAAGAGGGTGCTGGCTCCACATTCATATGGTGTTGCGAACTGAAAGTCATTTTGAAGATCATTCGGCACACTTAACGGCCCTGCCCTTTGGAAGATCTAAAACCTTCTGGTTTCCGAGCTACACGCCGCGAAGATGTGCAGACTATTTCTTCCAGACTATTTCAAGGCTATTCAGGTATGCATGATGCCATACAAACGTCAATCAAATCCTGCCACTCCATAAGCCATGCATCGTTCAGGGCGTGGAAGAATAGTATCGCCGAGCTGTTCAGATCTTGCGTTCGTGAGCACCATCTCCAAGCATAGGAGACGCCAACTGGCTCGCAATCAGTGCTGAGTAAGGTGTGCAATATTCAGTCACGAATTGCGTTTTGTGGTTGCGTAATATAAAAAGTGGGACATTTCTGCTTCACTTGCCGGAGCAAAACCCATGCTGTTCTATTTAAATCGCAATGGAGCTCGCGTTCCGTTTTTGCCTTGAGTCCTCGGACCAGATCAGTTGCGCATGAGCACTGTAAATGGTCACATTCTGGGTGCTGCGTGAGGTACAAATATCCGCTTAAATTATTTTGAATATTCAGGCATACAAGAAAGCAGCAATCGAACAGCCCAGATTAGACTACGCTAATCATCCACAGATACGTCAAAAATATGTCGCGTGACAGGCATGCAAGCATCCAGCCCGAAGTCACTGGGCGCCCATCCTCTAAACGACGACACAGCGTGACCAGACGAAAGATGAGGGAAGAAAGCAGAGTATTTGCGCAACACCGATAGCTGTTGAAAAGTATGGCGCATTGAGCAAAAATATGACGAAGGCAGATACACAGTTTGTAGCCTTGGGTTTGTGCACCCGTCTGACGCGCTGAAAAAGCCCATGTGGACAGGCCTTTATTGTCGTGAAAGATAATTGTCCAATGCAGTGATCAAACCCATTCACAGCGGTTTCGAAAGGTATCGGGCTTCATTAGCTCAGCTTCCGGCACTGTGTAGGCGATAGCACCTGCCAGCAGTGACAGACGGGACAGCTGTCGATAACAACTCGGTGGTTTTCGACGGGACACCGGACCTGTTCACCTCGCTCGCACCATCCTGCACAACGTGTCTGATGGGCGGTCCGGCATCACCGAGGACGATGAACAGGGCGATGTGGTCAGATGGCGAACCGTACGATACCGAAGCGCTCACTTCTAACTTGATCACCCATTAGAACGCGGGCATACATACAATGCAGCGAAGCAGGTTCTCGTATATGGTTCAGATATTCCGACAGTTGACACTATCAATTTGGCCCGGCACAGCACGCTCCCAGTTTGCCTTCGGCGCGTTTTTCCAGGATTGATTTCTGCGCGCCAGTGATGCATCGAGTTATGTTCAGCATTACTTAGCGGGAACAGTTAACACGCGCTGTTGAATGGCGGCGTGATGGTATTGTTTTCGTTGGGGCTCGCCAGCCCGTCACGCGAGGCGGATTACCTGCCGCCACCGGTGGCACTGCCACCTAATGGCGCCCTCGCCTGATGCGGCGCCGCCGCCGCCCGTCCGCCACGCACACTGATGGTGAACGGGCCGGGCTGGGGCGTCTCGGCCGGCGGCTGCGGCAAGTGGACCTGTCGCTGCCTCGGATCGACACCGGGGTCTTGGTGTCAGGGGTCCACCCGTGACGCCGGTCCACCCGTGACGCCGGTCCGCCCGTGACGCCGGTCCACCCGTGACGCCGGTCCACCCGTGACGCTGGTACGCCTGTGTCGTCGGTCCACCCGTGACGCCGGCCCGCCCGTGACGCCGGTCCGCCCGTGACGCCGGTCCACCCGTGACGCCGGTCCACCCGTGACGCTGGTACGCCTGTGTCGTCGGTCCACCCGTGACGCCGGCCCGCCCGTGACGCCGGTCCGCCCGTGACGCCGGTCCACCCGTGACGCCGGCCCGCCCGTGACGCCGGTCCACCCGTGACGCCGGTCCACCCGTGACGCTGGTACGCCTGTGTCGTCGGTCCACCCGTGACGCCGGCCCGCCCGTGACGCCGGTCCGCCCGTGACGCCGGTCCACCCGTGACGCTGGTACGCCTGTGTCGTCCCCCACCCGTGACGCCGGCCCGCCCGTGACGCCGGTCCACCCGTGACGCCGGCCCGCCCGTGACGCCGGCCCGCCCGTGACGCCGGCCCGCCCGTGACGCCGGTCCGCCCGTGACGCCGGTCTACCCGTGACGCCGGCCCGCCCGTGACGCCGGTCCGCCCGTGACGCCGGTCCGCCCGTGACGCCGGTCCACCCGTGACGCCGGTCCACCCGTGACGCCGGTCCGCCCGTGACGCCGGTCCACCCGTGACCGCCGGTCCGCCCGTGACGCCGGTCCGCGTGACGCCGGTCCGCCCGTGACGCCGGTCCACCCGTGACGCCGGTCCACCCGTGACGCCGGTCCGCCCGTGACGCCGGTCCACCCGTGACGCCGGTCCGCCCGTGACGCCGGTCCGCCCGTGACGCCGGTCCACCCGTGACGCCGGTCCACCCGTGACGCCGGTCCGCCCGTGACGCCGGTCCACCCGTGACGCCGGTCCACCCGTGACGCCGGTCTACCCGTGACGCCGGCCCGCCCGTGACGCCGGTCCGCCCGTGACGCCGGTCCGCCCGTGACGCCGGTCCCCCCGTGACGCCGGTCCACCCGTGACGCCGGTCCGCCCGTGACGCCGGTCCACCCGTGACGCCGGTCCACCTGGACGCCGGTCCACCCGTGACGCCGGTCCGCCCGTGACGCCGCCCGCCCGTGACGCCGGTCCCCGTGACGCCGGTCCGCCCGTGACGCCGGCCCGCCCGTGACGCCGGTCCACCCGTGACGCCGGTCCGCCCGTGACGTCGGTCCGCCCGTGACGCCGGTCCGCCCGTGACGCCGGTCCACCCGTGACGCTGGTACGCCTGTGTCGTCGGTCCACCCGTGACGCTGGTCCACCCGTGACGCCGGTCCGCCCGTGACGCCGGTCCGCCCGTGACGCCGGTCCACCCGTGACGCTGGTACGCCTGTGTCGTCGGTCCGTATGACGTCTGCTCGATGGAATAGTGTGGCGCTGACCGAACCAACGCTCTGGTGGCGCTGACCGAACCAACGCTCTGGGGCTCCTGGTCCCCCCCCCCCCTCTGTCTCCCTGGCTGCAGTCTAACCGGTCCAGGTCGACGCATCTGAATTCCTGCAGCACTCGGCGTGCCGCGGTGTCTTCCCGTCCCTCCGGGTGTCCGCTATGCTTCTCCTCTGGCAGCCTTGGCTATGTTGTCGCTGTAGTGCGCCGCACGTGCCAGCGCCCATAGCGCTGCTGACAGCCGACGCGCGCCGCGCGGCGACACGCAGCCTCACGTCCAACCGCTGCGCCTTGTCCGACAGAAAATCAAGCCGAACAACATCAGCGACGAGTATGAGCTGCTGGAGGTGATCGGGCGCGGCAGCTTCTCCGTCTGCCGGCGCTGCATGCACCGCACCACGCGCACCGAGTACGCCGTCAAGGTGAGGCTCCAACTGCCGGCCGGCCGGCAGGACGGCAGGACGGCACGCCGGGAGCGAGGTCGGCACTGCACAGCAGCTCGGAGCTGGGCGCGGCCGAAGTGCAACACCAACAGCAGCCCAGTTGTGAAGAATAAAGATGTCGGGCGAAGTAAAACCAAAACAAAAAAAACCAACAAACAACAAAATAGCGCTGGTGGACGGAAAGCCGATGTTAACGAGTTCAGTTTTCAGTGGGCATCAGAAGCCACTTCTGCGCATTTTTGTGCAGCAGATGTTCGGATATATCACGTATTTTGGTGTATCATGTCTTTTAGAGCATGAATAACTGGGTAATATTGCATCAATGTTGTCTTGCAACCAGGCATTTCGGCAATTTTTCAAGTACAATTTTCAGTCCGTCCGGCTTCCAAAGAGGTTTTCTAGACTATAAGTGCATTACTATTATTTCATTGTCTTAGTAGGGTCAGGTCATGCGAGGTCAAGCGTGTTCAAACCTTGATATCTGTGATGAGATGGAACCGTTTGATGGTCTTGCGATACATACCTTATTGATGCGCATCTTACGTTCTCCGCTCTCTTACGCTCTCGTTCTCTCTTACGCATCCCTGTTCTCCCTATTGCTGGTTAGGGAGAACAGCATAGACTAGTAGATTGTTTAGCTCTTACTTTAGCTAGACGGGCCAGCGCGACAATTACCTTCTCCCCTTGGGCCTGACATGACATATAGCAGGTCAGATTTGGTGATATCCGCTTGTGTCTATCTGATAGGAGTTTTCTAGGAGCTATTCATATTCAGCGCTGTATTCCGCATGTTCGCAGCAAACTGCTTAGTTTTATGAAACAGGAGGGATTTCTTAAGTGGTAATACCATAAAATGGTAACCCTTTGGCCTGATATGATCCGCCAAACGTTACCTTTACCGTTTTGCCACATTCGGATACACTTAGCTGATTTTTATGTTGGTTTTGATCCGTATCCGTAAGTGGTAATACAGATAGCTAACAATAAAATGGTAGCCCTGTGACCTGATGTGATATATCAAAGGTCACATTTGCCGTTGTGCCGCATTTGGACGCACTTGCTGGTTTTGATCTTGATCTTAATCTCTATCTAGACTCATCTGAGCCAAGGTTCTGCCGGCGTGCCGTTCTGGTTGTGTGACGCTCAATGAGTGGTTGGGGAGCGGCTCACGGGATAGGCCGAATTTAGGTGCGTTGCTTACGCGCCTGCATTCCGAACCACCCACTCGTGGCGGGTGGGTTCGAATCTCCTAAGGCGCTCGCTATTTGAGTGATCTTTAGGCGCTGGCTATTCGACTTTTACCTGTGCGGCCTGCGGCCGGTGGCAGCGGCCGCGCTAATGACTCGGTAGCGTCAGTGTGCAGGACGTACCATGCTGAACATTGCGGCACGGATATTTTTGCTGACAAATTGTACCGTTGACCTGAAATTTCATGGGCGCATTGTGGGGCCACGCCTCGCGCAACAGGCACTGCTTAGCGTGAGCTGTGATCGCATACATTCGTCCGTTCAAAGGTCAGGACTAAATTCTTGAAAAGAAAATGTAATGAACCGTAAGTTGATAGTATGTATAGTTCGGGTACGTGTTTAGCAGCATAGCCATAAATCAACGGATGCGGTGTGTGAGTGGTAGTGTATTACGATAATCATCGCGTGGTTGAGAAATTGAATGTGTTGTGTTATTTTATGACCGGTTGTCGTGGATGATCGTGCGTTTTAAGTTTTGAATTGATAAAGGCCGGCAATCGAAGTATACTTCAGCGAAAGGGAACTGTTTTGTTTTATCGACAGAGTGAGCATAAAGCATGCGAACATCATCCTTGAGTAAATTTATATGAACGCAGTACTACTCGGTAGAAAAACCCCATAACATAATTTTATAAAGCGTTTCTTCCAACTAAGATCATATGGAATGAACACGCAATTTCATTGCGCCACTTTTGAAGTAAGGCAAACGGTGCATACACTGGCTGTAACATATATTAGTCAGTTAAGCCATACCTAAGCGGAGTGCTGCCAAAATGAATGCCATTAGAAGTAGACCTCGCTGCATTCCACAACATTGTTAGTGAACAGTTGAACGGCAAAAGTAAACGTCCCCAGCAGCCGATCCTTAGCTGGGTGAGTGCTGATGGGCCGCCTTTTAGCCTACCTACGGGTCACCGACAAATGGCTTGTCACTACTCGATGTATGAAAACACAATTGATCACACTATCGCAGGATGCATTGGGATGTGTTGTCTTACGTCTCTAATTTGAAACACCATTTCCATGCCCTCCAGTTTGCTTTTCCATTTGCGCATGATAAGACCCCCATTTATCTTTGTTTTTATGTTTAGTGTATAGGAACTGTGCCCTGAAGAGCGCATGCCCTGTTTGCAAAAAAGGTTTACAGTATTGCCATACATTTTCTCGCATGTCACGGTAAGAGTTAAGTTACTATATCGTAGCAGTTGGTCACTCCAGTATGGTATTGACAACCGCACTGTATAAAACAGCTTTAAAAATGTTAAGAAGGAAATTTCAACTTTGACTGCGCTGCTCAGACCACAATTCAGGCAAACCTCCAAGTGAAGAATGCGACGTAAGGCCGTTCACCAGTAACACGTGGCAGCTCGTGGTTGTCAAAATCAACAAAAATGGAACTTGCTCAAATGGATAGTTATTTTGTGTGCTTGACAATTCCGTTTCAACTTCTAACAAAGCATTTGAACAAACACAGGTGGTCTAAAAAGCACTTAGGACATAATGATTGCAAATTTAATGCAGTAAATCGCCACTAAACGTGTTGTAAATTTTCAATATGGTGGCTTTGAAGCAAATGTGTCCATTTCGGGTCACATTGCGAACATACAAATCATTGCCGGTGGGCCAACGTTTGGAAATGGAAGACTGAACTATTAAACAGCACAATGAAATAGCTAAAAAAAATACTGGAACTTGAACCTCACATCACTATTGTGGAGTCATTGTCTACAGATACGGTCAGTTAACAAATATGGTGAGCGAACGCTGCCCGTGGGTGAGCAAGTCGGCCTACCTGTGTTTAAAGTGGTCTGACCTTAGCCTAAGTGAATGGTGGTGGACCGTTTCGGCGCAGTTTGTGTTTAAAAGCGGCTGATCGCCCCCTGATTGTACTTGGCCTATAGAGCGAGCACCCGTTTGAAGCAGCGAGGCCATTTTGGGATTACACGGATCGGTTCCGGGCTCAGTAGTTCGAGCCGAGGCGTCGGACAGCAAGCCGTTTGGCGCTGGACGGGGAACGAGACCACTGCCCTCTGCTCTGCAATGATACTGGAGCGTGCTCATCCGTTGCGGTTTACGCCGGCTTGTTTCAGATCATCCGCTCCCGGGAGCCTCACGCCAGGCGTCCCTGAGCTGAGCGGGCCCTTTCCGTTTGCCGGCTCCCGCGTGGTATGCGGGTCCTGTGCGCGCTCAATTCGCCGGTGCCAAGCAAACACTCCTAACCGGAAGTGAAGGGGGCGGGGAGGGGGGGGGGGCGGCGTGTTGGCCGCTCTGCCAAACGCTGCGCGTGTCACCTCTCATACCTGTCGGCGCAACGTGCATAATTAACGCCGGTGCCGGAGTCCGGCCGCATCACTGCCGGCGGCCTCATTCACTAATGGCCGCTAATGGAGTCCATCCCGGCCGGACCGGCTCGCGCCCCTGGTGAAGTGTCGACTCCCACTCACCGCGACAGCGGCCGGCGGCTGGCTCGCGACTACCCGGTCGTCAGGCGCGCTGCCGCGGCAAGGTACCGCGACGGCCACCGGGGCAGGACGCCGCGACGGTCACAGCGGAGGGCGCCGCGACGGTCACCGCGGAGGGCGCCGCGACGGTCACCGCGGAGGGCGCCGCGACGGTCACCGCGGAGGGCGCCGCGACGGTCACCGCGGAGGGCGCCGCGACGGTCACCGCGGGGGGCGCCGCGACGGTCACCGCGGAGGGCGCCGCGACGGTCACCGCGGAGGGCGCCGCGACGTTCACCGCGGAGGGCGCCGCGACGGTCACGGCTGCCGCGCACCTGGCGTTGGCGGCCGCTGGAAGGGACGGTTATTCAGCTTTCAGGGTTGGATGTCCCCTGGTGAGGGGATGAACGTGCTGGCGGTTGGGCTCGCCTATGTCCCACTCGCCCAGACCTCCGGGTGTGTCGTAGGTGTGGGCGGTCCCCATCTCTTTAGCTAGCAGCTAGCTACGCACAGACGTGCGGTTTCCTGTATAGAGGGGTGTAGAGGCTGAAACCCGCCCCAGCTTTGAGGGAGGAGGTGGTCAAATTAACGGAGAATCTTTTTGCCTTACGCTGGGGGTAGGCTTACTTTTTTCCATTGTGAGCCCTCCCCCCCCCCCCCCCTCCTCCACCATACACAATTTATTCTGCGAAATTACGCCCCTGTCTGCCTGGTAAGTGGGCAAGCTTCTTCCATTTGCTTTAGTGTGATAATTACGTGGGATCAACGCAAAGGAATTCACTCCGCACTCACGAACCCGGATGCATTAGCATTAGACTCGTCTGCAAGCCGCTGCTTCCGGTCGATCAGCCAGCGAGCGCAACGCCGTTTCTGTTGCATGTTAGTGTGGGTTTAGCGCTGGCAGTTATCGGCCCGGAGAACCGTTTGAACCGGCGCCATGCCCGGCCGGCTTTGGCCGCTGGTGGCGCTGCCCCAGCGGACCGGCTCGGCGCGGCCCCGGCCGGTGTTGGCGGCACGTACCGCTCCGTATGCCGTCCGGGTGGCGCACGTTGTGAGCGCGGCGGCCGGTGACGGCCCGCTCTGGGCGGTCGCCGTGGCCACGCGCCCCCTCTGGCGTCATTATGCCCGCGTCCGGCGGCGAGCACCGCCGTGTCGATTCAGTGGCGGCTCCGCGGCCGTCGTCCGAAAAGGTCAACTTGTCGCAGCGCGGCGCCGGCGGCCCTCTTCCGAGCGCGAACCGCCCGCCGGCGCGCCCCGCCTGGCCCCAGGTGCGTTCAATGTGTTCAGAGCC